AGGCCCTCTATGAGGTGGATTGATTCAGTGACTGGGATAATTGGGATGGGAGTGTCAGAGACAGTGCGATTGGCACAGGACAGAGCGGAGTTTAGGGTTGTTGTACATAGGGTCGCTATGAGTCGCAGGCGACTCGACGGCACATAACAACAACAACAACATATGTCCCAACAACTAAAGCCAAAGTGGAGGAAAGAGAAGATTTCTACTAACTCTTGCAATCTGAAATAGATTGAACATACAACCAAGATTCATTAATAGTAATTGGTGCCTGGAATGCAAAATTTGGGAAGAAGGACTAGTAATTGGGAACTATGGGCTTGATTACAGAAATAAGACTGAACATATAATGATAGAATTTTGTACGATCAATGATTCATTCATGCAAATACCTTTTTACTAAAAACACAGGTGGCAGCTATACAAATGGACTTTACTGAGTATGTGGGAACCAGATTGATTGCATCTGTTGAGAGAATTGTTAGACTAGCTCTGTATTATTTGTGAGAACCAGGCCAGGTGTTGACTGTGAAACAAAGTTTAGGAAAAAGAAAAAGGTGCTGACATGGTTTAAGAAAAAGAAAAAGAAAAAAAATCCAGAAGAACCAAAATACAACCTTGAATCTATACCGCCTGAAAAAAAACCATCTTAAGAACAGGTTTGAAGCTTTGAACACTAATGAATAAAGACCAGATGAGCTGTGGGTTGATATAAAGTATATCATCCATGAAGAAAGCAAAAGGTCATTACAAAGACAGAGGATGAAGAAAAAAACCAAAATGGATGCCAGAAGAGATTCTGAATATTGCACTAGAATGTTAAGAAGCCAAAACAAAGGTAAGAAATAATGAAGTTAAAGAGTTGAACAGACAGCTTGCAAAGACAAGTCAATTATTGTAATGAAACGTGGCCAAGGATGATAGTCTTAGTTTTTTTTTTTTAATTTTTGTGTGCGTGTACCATCAAATCAGATCTGACTGGTACAGGAGGAGATTGTCCCTCCTTTTCCCGGCAAAGCATCTGGTGGATTCAAACCCTGTGTCTCTGGGATTGTAGTTGCAGCTCCTTGCCACTAGGCCACCAGAGCTCCCCTGATAGTTTTAGTTTTTTTAATTGTACATTACCTTTCTTTTCATGCAGGTTAATACCCTGTCCTTAGTGATTTACCCTTTTTTCCTCCATCCTCCTATACCTGTAAACTTAAAATAATATTTTTGTAAATGAACTTTTAAGACAACTTTTTGTAGTAATAATCTCATATGATATTTCTCTTTTTGTGGTTGACTATAATTTCCACTCAGAATAATACCCTCTAGGTTCATCATTTAGAAGCAGAAGTGGCATCCTCTTACTAAACAACATGCTTCTGGAAACTCTATGAACATTGATAAATGAGGATAGTTATAAAAAGGTTTCAGGCCTTTTGTTCATAGGGTCACTATGAGTCGTGTTAGACTAGATGGCAATGAATAACAACAGGTTCATCATATCTGTTAGTCTACTCTAAGTGTACTCTGCTGTACATAGGTTTTTGAAGGCCTGTTATATTTCAGAAGTAGTCTTTAATATGGATTGAAGCTCAACATCAAGAAGACAAAGATTCTCACCACTGGGCCAGTTGGTAGCACCATGATAGAAGGAGAAGAGATTGAGGTTGTTAAGAGTTACAGCTTGCTCTGCTCCACAATCAGTATTCTTAATACCAGAAGTCAGGAAATCAAAAGACAAATTGCATTGAGAAAATCTGTTGTAAGGGACCTCTCTAGAGTGCTGAAAAGCAACAATATGAGTCTAGAGACTAAGGTGCACTTAATCAAGTCCATGGTCTTTGCAATTACTTTTTTTAAAATTAATTTCAATGAACATTTACAGAGATATTGAATTTCCGTTCATTCATTGTTGAACTTTTCTCCCTGCCCACCCCACCCCCAGTTCGCTCTTCTTTGCAAAGTAAAAGAAAAATTTCTTCATTGGCATACAATCCCCCACACAACCCCGCACACCTACCCTGAGTATACTCCACTCTGCAACCTTCATTCCAACTCTTATGATAATCATAATGCCCTAAAATGTATTGCTTTTAAACTGTTCTCTCCCTCATCTGTTTCAATGCAGTATACATAATTAATCTAGTTTTTCTCATTCTTACCCTAACCCTGATGTCAGTTCCCTTCTACAGCAGTGACACCATGCAGTGTTTGTCCTTTTGTGACTGAGATATTTCACTCAGCATAATATCCTCGAGGGTCATGCATTTTGAATAATATTGCATGAATTCTTTGCTTTTCAATGCAGCATATTATTCCATTGTGTGAATATACCACAGTTGCTCTATTCATTAATTTGTTGATGGGCACTTAGGTTGTTTCCAGCTCCTTGCTATTGTGAACAAAGCTATGATAGATATGAGTGTGCATATATCTGCTTGGATGGTGGTTCTGGTCTCTTTAGGATATATTCCCTGTAGTGGAATTGCTGGGTCAAATGGTATCTCTGTTTACAACTTTTTGAGAAAGCGCCATTCCGCCTTCCACAGTGGTTGCACCATTTTACACTTCCAGCAAGAGTGAATAAGGGTTCCAGTTTCTCCACAACCTCGCCAGCATTTGTTGCTTGCTGCTCTGTTAAATTTTGCTATTCTGACTGGGGTGAGGTGATATCTCTTGATTATATCTTGATTTGCATCTCTCTTAGAGCTAGGGATTTTGAACATTTCTTCATGTGTTTGTTAGCGATCTGAATCTCTTCTTTGGTGAAATGTCTGTTCATATCCTGTGCCCATTTTTCTATTGGATTATTTCTCTTTATCTTGCTGTACCACCACAATTATTTTTTGTGCTTCAGAGAGTTGGACAATGACTAAGGATGACAGAAGAAAAATAGATGCCTTTGAGTTGGGGTGCTGGAGAAGAGTCTTGAACATACCATGAACCACCAAGAAAACAAATTGGTCTTTCTTGGAGAGGGTGAAATAAAATTTCTCTGTGGAGGTTAGGGTTTGGGAGCTCTGTCTCACATATTTTGGGCATATGGCCACGAGAAGGACATCATCCTTGGAAGGGTGGACAGTGCAGGAGAGGAAGACCTCAGGAGAGATGGACTGATAGAGTAATTGGGGCAATGGGGGCTTAGTGTGTCGGAATTGTTAAGTCTGGCTCAGTATAGAGAAGGGTTCAGAGCCGCTGCACATAGGGTCGCTATAGGTCACAGGCAGGCAACTTGATGGCACATAACAACAACAATAATATATTATATTTGTTGTTTTTTATTTAAGCCTTTTGTTTAAAGTCAATAGTCCTAGTGGTGGGCCTTTGTATTTAAAAGTTGGTTGTTATTATATTTTTGAGGAACATTCCAAGTGGTACAACACTCTTCTGTCAATGCTTTACTGAGGTAACCTGGGGTTGCTGTGATGCTGAACCTTGTGCCACTGGTGTGTCAAATGCCATAATGGTTATCCATGTTGGACAGTGTATGGTGGAGCTCCAAGTTTAAAACAGGTTTGGAAGCAGGAGTGACATCCAGTTCCTAAACAACATGCCTCTGGAAACTCTATGAACTTTGAGAAACTACGATAGTTATGGAAAGGCTGCAGGTCTTTTGTTGATAGTGTTGTTATGAGTAGTGCTTGACTCGATGGCAATCAATAACAACAACAACAACAACAACAACAACAACAACAATAGCGACAACAACAGGTTCATCATGTTATGAGGTGTTTCACAGAGTTGTTATTCTCTAAAGTTGCATAATATTCAATAGTGTTTATGTACTATATTTTGTATCCATTTATAATACTGATGAGCACTTAAGTTGTTTCATCTTCCAGATTGATGGTTTTAACACAGCAAATGAAAATAAAATCAGATCTGGCATAGAGGTAGACAGTAAAATAGATGGCTAAGAGTTGTTGTTTTCCCCTTTTGTTTAAAAGTAGAGAGCAGATCTAGGCCAGGACAAAGGTAGCCCAAGGGCTGTGTTTTCTTGGTAACAATTGAGGATGGTCTTTCCTGGAAGAAATTGAACAAATATGCCTCTTTGGCCTTAGAGAGGCAGATTGACAAAAGTTGAATGAGGAAAAGGAAGTAATTAGCGTATTTTATTTGGGCAGTATCTGAGAATAAAATACTGAGGGCTGGGTCTTGAATTGTAAAAATAGCCTGAGGAAGATACCAGGTAAGAAAACATAAGAGCCTTGTCTAAGCAGAAAGAAAACGCAATGTTTAATAAACTAGAATTTATAATAAGAGTAATACAAACACTTTACTTTTTAGACATTTAATTTTGGCTCTTCTTCTGAAATGTTATGTGTGAGAATAAAGTAAAAAACAAAACAAAACACTATTTTCTACCTTAGATTGTTTTAAAATCTTAGTCTGGAAGCTCTGCTGAAGGAAGCATGGTAGTGTATCTTCCAGTACACAACTCAGAAGCTACTCCAGTACAGCAAACTGATAGGCAAATTCTGTTCTAATAAGCACAAATTATTAACAAGCAAGCATACAAACATCTACACTATAAAATAAATAGCCATATGCAAATCACTCCCTACTACAACAAACTGACAGACATAGGTGTTGTACTTCTACCAGAAAACCACAGAAACAAATAGGCTTATGAATATCATGGCACAGGACTCTATGCTCAGGCTCTGGCTGAGGCCCACTATGGCACATCAGAAATGGGTCTCAGATGGCTTCTGGGGGCCTTCAGGCTGAGGTCTGTGCCTGGTACATTGGGATGGGGCCCCAAATGGCTCACACAATTAATACCCTTGGTACTAGGGGTCAAGAAATCAAAAGACATATTGCATTGGGAAAGTCTACTGTCAAGGACCTCTCCAAGGTACTGAGGAGCAATGATGCCAATTTAAAGACTAAAACATGTCTTATTCAGGCCATGGTCTTCTCAATCACTAGCTGTACATCTGAGAACTGGACAATGAAATGCCTTTGAATTCTGATGTTGTGATAGCTTATGGACTACCAAAAGAAGAGACAGATATGTCTTGGAGAAAATGCAGTCAGAGGGCTCTGGAGGTGAGGATGGCGAAGATTTGTGTCACAGAGTTTGGGCATATTGTTAGGAGAGGCTATTCCTGGGAAAAGAGTCATGATACTTGAAAAGGCAGAGCGTCAGCAAAAGAGAGGAAGACCCTCCAGGAGATGGATTTCCACAGTGGCTGCAACAATGAGCTCAAGTATATCAGAGAGGACGAGTATGCCATGAGATAGGACAGGGTTCAGCTCTGCTGTTCATAGAATTACTATGGGTTGCACTTTACTTGATGGCACATAGCAACAGCAGGAACAGATTATTTTTTATAGAAAATAATTCATGATTCATTTAATTATCCAGTAAAAAGTTATCAACTATTAACGGCCTGCTAAGCACTAGTATCAGTTGCTGTCAGGTTGATTTCAATTCATGGTGACTTTCTATGCATAAGAATGGAACTGTGTTTCATAGGGTTTTCTTTTTCTTTTAAAATTTATTTTGAGTTAAAATTTACAAATAATTTACAATCATTCATAGGCATTAACCACCATTGGCTGAGGCAGTTAATTTATATGATATCTAAGCACCTTTATTGTATATTGCTATTTCCTTCACCCACCTTCTTTTCCATAGGATTTTCAATGGATGATTTTTCAGAAGTAAATCTCCAGGTCTTTCTTCCCCAGTAGCATTTTTATTAGCAATCAGTTGTTTGTACTACATACTTAGTTATCTGTAAGCATATTTTACAGTTTATTTATTTCTACAGGACTCAATAGAAAGTAAGAGTTGTTTACTGAGGCTTTGTTAATGACAGAGACCATTGTTTGATAATATCTAAGATACTGTTTGCCAGCATGAGATTTTAACATCATTTACAGCCTAGTTAAGGTACATTATATGTCTATATGTGTCAGTTCTACATATAATCAGGAAACCGCAAGAATCTGAACTTAATATTTCCAGGCCAATTTATTGCACTTTTCTTCTTAGCATCTTCTCTTACAAAATCTAGGGGCAAAATAATCTAGAACATCAGCTTTGAATTCTGACTCACAATTTATTGTGTACGTCTGCTCCTCTGCAACTATCAACATTTATTAAAGTTCATAGAGTTCCCAGAGGCGTGAGTAATAGTTGTGTTAAATGCGATTTCTATTTCTACCTTTTTGAGGAAATGTCAAATTGCCTTCCATCGTTTTGTCTTCCCACCAGCAGTATCTGAGTTTCAGTCTCTCCGTATCTGTGGTTTTCTGTCCGGTTAAACCTTGCCGTTGTTGGTGGGGTAATGACAAGTCTAGAGGACATTGTGCTGAGTAAACAAATGGACAAATACTGTATAAGATCTTTACTGTGAAAAAGGGAAGATTTGGGTCGAGGGTTGGAGAGCAGAAATAGAATGGACTGACAGTGAACACTACTGTTAAAGAAGAGAAGGGAAGATCAACCTGAAATGAAGGGATAAAAGGACAATATGTGTATTGTAATTAAAAACTTGGAACAAGACTTGCATAACTCATCAAATGGCGAGGGGAGAAAGAACAAGGAGATAAAGGGTTGATGAGAAGGGAAAAAGTGGTAATAGGAAAAGAAATACTTTTACACTGATAAACATTGAAAAAAAGGAAAGTTGAGAGTCGTGAGGCACATTCTGCGCCTGCGCCTTGGCGCAAGGTGGGGTTCCTGGCGCCGGCGCTCTGGGCTGCACTCAGACTACCCGGTATGGGCTACAGTCAACCGTCATCCTGACAGGGCGGAGGCAGGATGGCAACTGCCTTAGGGTCTTCGGACTGGGCTACATCTGGAGGCCCTCCGCCTGGGGGAGGAATACAAGCAGCAGGGGCTGAGGAGGAGGAGCGGGAGGTGGTGCGGGTCAGAGTCATGAAGTGTGAGAGCATCTTGCCTCCCGAGTTCCGTTCTTTCGCTGTAGACCCCCAGATCACGTCTCTGGATGTGTTACAGCATCTCCTCATCCGAGCTTTTGACTTGACTGGGAAAAAGAACTTTGGCATCAGCTACTTGGATCGGAATCAACTAGGACAGGAAGCTTACCTCTCACTCCTGACTGACTGGGATCTCCGCGCAGCATTTGCCACTGCCTCCGAACCTTACCTGCAGTTACGTATTGACATCCAGCCCACTGAGGACAGCCTGCTGCTGGATGACTGGGACATAGTTAGTCCCAAGGATGTCATTGGCTCCGACATGCTGCTGGCTGAGAAACGATCATCGTTGACAACAGCTGCCCTACCATTCACACAGTCCATCCTCTCTCACCTGAGGGTGAGCCGCACCATATCTAAGGTCCAACAGGTGCTAAGCTGGGCATATGGGGAAGATGTCAAGCCTTTCAAGCCACCCTTGAGTGATGCTGAATTTCACATGTATTTGAACCATGAGGGCCAGATCTCCCGCCCTGAGGAGTTGCGCCTTCATATCTATCATGGTGGTGTTGAGCCCTCTATGCGAAAGGTGGTGTGGTGGTACCTGCTGAATGTATATCCAGATGGGCTGACAGGCCGTGAGAGAATGGACTACATGAAACGCAAGAGCCGTGAATATGAACAGCTCAAGAGCGAGTGGGCACAACGGGCAAGTCCTGAGGATCTGGAATTCATCCGCAGCACAGTCCTCAAGGATGTTCTGCGTACTGACCGGGCTCACCCCTACTATGCAGGGCCTGAGGATGGCCCACACCTGCGAGCATTGCATGACCTACTCACCACCTACGCTGTCACCCACCCGCAGGTGTCCTACTGCCAGGGCATGAGTGACCTTGCCTCACCCATTCTCGCTGTCATGGACGATGAGGGTCATGCCTTTGTCTGCTTTTGTGGCATCATGAAGCGCCTGTCTGCAAACTTCCATCCTGATGGCCATGCTATGGTTACCAAATTTGCCCACCTCAAGCTGCTGCTGCGGCATGCTGACCCTGAATTCTACCAGTACCTGCAAGAAGCTGGTGCTGATGATCTCTTCTTCTGTTACCGTTGGCTGTTGCTCGAGCTCAAGCGTGAGTTCGCCTTTGATGATGCCCTCCGCATGCTTGAGGTCACCTGGAGTTCATTGTCCCCGGATCCTCCTGAGCATGAGATTGAGCTTGTTGGACCCCCCAGGCAAGTGGCAGACACTGACTTCAGCAGTCAAAGGGGACAGTCCATGCGACAGAGGCACATGCTGAGGCCTACTGGTGGAGGAGGTAGTGTCTTCGAAGATGCTGTTCATCACTTAGCCACAACCACTCAGGGTCCTGGGAGCGGGGGGCCTCTCCAGAGACAGACCAGCCTGAATGATCTCCAGCAACTCAGGGATACCACGAGAGGGGACCTTCTGGTCCAGCTACAATGCCCAACTACCAACTCCTCTGAGCCATTGGAGAACTCCCCAGACCCACTGCTCTCCTCTTCACACCGTGATTCCTCTTCATTCTCTTCATCTCCACCATCTACCCAGGAAGCCTCTCCTACTGATGATGTGGCTGCAGAATCCCCCTTGAAGCAAGCAGTAGGCTCTTCACAAGAACCTGTGAAGTTTTTACCTCCCCCAAGCCTACCTCCACCCGAGGAGTTAGGCCAGGGCAACTCATTCATGCTCTTTCTCTGCCTCGCCATCCTGTTGGAGCACCGTGACCATATCATGCACAATAGACTGGATTACGATGAGCTGGCCATGCACTTTGATCGCCTTGTGCGAAAACACCATCTGGGGCGTGTTCTGTGTCGGGCCAAGGCTCTCTTTGCTAATTACCTACAGTCAGAAGTGTGGGATTCGGAGGAGGGGGCTGAAGTTACAGCTCCATCTTGATCATGCTCTCCCTGGCTGACCATCAGCTCTACCAGGTCTCTGTTCTCTGCCATGAGGGCTAACACATGAAATCTCACTTCCTGGACTAGTTGACCTGTTGGAGTGTGGGGTTCTCTGCTCAGATCCGAGTGTGTAGGACTATGTTCTGGCACTGTCTGAAAAAGGCCATAACGTTTTTTTTCTGTTTCGTTTTGTTTTGTCTTGTTTTTAACAACTGTGGTTTGCACACATGGAAGTAAAATAAAAAAAGAAAAATAAAAAAGGGAAAGTCTATGTATGAAAGATAAAAAAGATAAGATTTGAACTTTTGGAATAACTTGCCAGCTAAAGCCATTCTAATTGCCTTTTTCAAAAAATTTAAATAAATTATTTATTTTATACTGGTTTACTTACGAAGTTGGAATACATTGTTTTTCACACTGGATCTATCCCATTTCCTTTACCCACCCCTCCCTTCACCCATCCATTTGGGCAACTCTGTGATTAACACTCTCCACTCTCTTCTTTTTGTTCCCCCCCCTTGGATCCTCATACATGTTCTACAATAATGGTCTTATACAGTATTTGTCTTTATGGGCCTGAGTTCACTTAGTATAATGCTCATCAGTCCTTACCATTCAATTGTTTGTCAAGACTACTTTTGGGTCACGACAATAAAAACATGCCAATAGCATATATGAATTAAAATACTTTTATTACTTTAAAAATATATAACTTTCCAATATTTTATATACAAAGGTTTTTTACATAGATATGTTAGTATATATAAAATTTGAATCCTGAATTTTCACTTATTTTGCTGAAAGCATTTTATATATTACCTCATTTACAATAATCATTTACTGCTTTGTATATAGACATAATACAATTTACTTAATCTTTTTTTTTAATGAAAAATTGCATTGAAGGTGGCAGAGCCCCTGCTATTGCTGTTAGTTGCTGTACATTTCATGCTCATTCCTAGAGACCCTAGAGATATATTGCAGATATATTGCAACCTTCTACTAAGTGATAAGGTCAATTATCGTAAGCAGATAATAACTTTTGGACTGTATCAGTCATTAGACAGGTAAATATCTGAGCCTTAAAACATAAGGTAACATTTAGCATTAGAGGACGGCCAATATGTAAGATCTACCTGTAAATAACTATGATACAATATGGAATGTCATAAATACCACAAAAAAAGATAATTTTGATTACAGAGAACAGATAAGGGAAGTTAATGGAGAATTTCTAGAAAGGCTACTGTAGAATTTAAAAGGTAGAAGGTTTTAGGAAGTGAAAAATGAAGGCTGGGATCTTCCGCTTCCACCTATGAAGGTGTAAATGGTGCCAGATCTCCTAATATAAATAACTATAAAGTGTATATAAATTGGTGGTTTTCTGTTATTCTTAATGGATATTTAAGTTATTAACAGTTTCAGAGGTTATCATAGGACTGTGATCTTTAAGAGAAATAGTAGAGGTAACCCTACCGGCACTTCAGTTTTCTTACTTTTCAGTCCTGAGCTCAAACTCAAAATACGTTTTAGAACTAAATGGAGACTTTAAAAGTGTAAAACATCTAGAAGAAAACAAGAGAAAATCTCTATAAGTTGATATATGTAGGCAGAGATTTCTTGGCCAGGACATACAAAGCACTAAGCATAAAAGAGAAAACTTAGTTTTATAATTGATAAATGAGTCTATAAGTGTTAAAGTTGGCTATTACAAGATAAACTTATACTCTTTAAGAGATACTATGAAGAAAATTAGGGAGCTCTGGAGGCTTAATGACAAGAAGTCTTACTGCTAACCCAGAGGCATACAGTTCAAATCCAGCTGTTGCTTTGAAGGAGAAAGATGGTCAATCTCTCTTGAAATCTAGTGCCTTTGAAAACCTGCTAGAGGGCCAGCTATGAATTGGTTCCAACTCAATGGTATAAAACAACAATATCTGAAAAAGAATTTGTATCTAGTCTACATGAAGAATTCTTTAATAGCAACAGAAATAATAAAATAGGAACAAAAGATTTGAACAGGCACATCATTAAAGATTTAAACTGGAGAATTCTCCCATATTGATATATGCAAATATATCAGAAAAATGTGAATTAAATCTTTAATGAGACCACCCTATAAACACAAAAACCAAACCCAACCCAACTCAACCCAACTCAAACCAAACAGAGTCCAAGCAAACAAGCAAGCAAGCAACCAACTAAAACACAAAAAAACCCCTCTTCATAACAAATTCCCAGGGATTGGATTCTGATTCATGGTTAACTTCATGTGTTGCTGGGTAGAATAACACTCTGTTGGGTTTGCAAAACTGAGACTACTGAGAAGTAGATCTTTCTTCCAAGGAGTCTCAAGATGTGTTTGAGTCACTAAATATTCAGTTAGTACTTGGGTAAATAAACTGTTTGCACTACTTGGGGATTTCTATGTATGTTTTGCTGGTGCTGCTGCTAGGTCTCAGTTGATTCTGACTCATGATGACCCCGCACACAACAGAAAAAACAGTCTGGTCTTGTGCAAATCTCACAATAATTGCTATGCCTGAGTCCAGAGTTTCAGCCACACTGTCTATCTTTTGATGGTTTGCTTCTTTTTCTCTAAACTATTTTACCAAACATAATGTCCTTGTCCCAGAACTGGCCCCTCCTGATACCAAGTCCAATGTACACAAGATGAAGTCTTGCGATTCTCACTTCTTTTTAAATTTTTTTTAAAATTAATTTTTTTCATTGTAAAAAAACCCATGTATGAGGACCCAAGGGGCTAAGGGATGGAAGCAGAAGGGTGAGGATGGGCAGGGATGAAATTACAGGGTTGTACAATTTGGGGGTAGAGGGAGTGGGTGAAGGAAATGAGAAAGATCAAGTAGGGACCAGAAAAGACAGGGTAATGGTGGGCATCGTCCAATGGTGATGAATTTTTTTTTTTACAAAGAGGTTGTCTTTTCATTTTTGGGTTTCCCACTTGGGAATGGGGTTCAGACTCTCACTGCTTCATGCTGAACAGGGACACTGAGATGAAGGGAAAGAGGAGCTCACTTTAACACTTTACTGGTGGCCGTGAGTTGAAGCTGCATGCCTTCTTGTTCAGTTAGAAGATATTTTCACGATATTTTCTGCTCTCTGGACCACAAAATGTTTGTGTGAGTGAGTCCAGTGGGAGTGGCTGGCTGGACTTTGAGGCTCCACCCACTTTTGCTTCCTTGATATTTCCCTTTTGTCTCTGGTACCAGGCTCAGGGTTCAGGTTCTGGAACAAGACTCAGTGTTCAGGTTATCTATAGGAAAGGGAGCAGACCTAAAGAGAACAAAGGGTGAATTACAAAGAAAAGGGCTTTTGAGGTGTTACTTACAGGTGTACTAAAAGAGGAGATGGAGGAAAGTGGCTTAGATAAAGTTTCTGATACACACCGAGTGTCTCTCCCCAGGGGCTGAATGATACTCCCCAGGGGCTGGGACATTCTAACTTCTAAAGAGCATTCTGGCTACACTTCTTCCAAGACAGATTTGTGTAATTTTACTGGAAGTCCATGGTGCATTTAATATATATTTTTTCCCCAAAAAACATAAATTCAAAGGAGAGAACTTTGGTGGTCTAATGGCAAGAAGCTGCACTACAATCCTAAAAGCACTACCAGCTGCTCAGCGGGAGAAGGATGAGCAATATCCTCCCATGTGATTAACAGTCTTTGGAAACACACAGGAGGGTCCTCTATGGATTGGTTCCAACTTGATGGTATAGAACAAAAACATCAACAAATCAAAGGCAACAGTTCTTAGGACTTTTTTCCCCCCAATAGTTATTGCCCAGCTTTCACATACACACCAGTGGCTGAAAATACAGTAACTTTGGACAGGTGCACCTTGGTCTTCAAAGTGGTATCTTTGCTTTTTCAGAATTTTATAGAGGCCTTTTGCTGCAGACTTCCCCAGTGTAATATGTTGCTTGATTTTCTGACTGCTGTTTCAATAGATGTTGATTCGAGATCCAAATGAAAGGAAATCCTTGACAATTTCAATCTTCTCTCTTTTTATCATAATATTGTTTTTTGGTTCAACTGTGAGGATTTTTGTTAAAATGTAAGCCACACTGAAGGCTATATATAGTCTTTGATTTGCATAAGTAAACACTTCAAATTATCATATACTTAGTTGTTGTTTTTTGTTATGTATACCATGGTATACACCTTGATGGCTGTCCTGTCAGTCATATAAGGGAAGTTTTTGGGGTCCTGTTTGATGTGTATTACAGCTCGTTTCCCCCAAAGAGCAGGTGTCCTTGAGCCTTTGCCTAGGGTGGAGATCTGCTCAAAGGTGTGGCTTTAAAAATCCTGCAGAAGGGGATGGGACTGCAGGCCAGGGCCTGGAGCCTCCCCTCTGGGAGTTTGGTTGCTAGTTAGCATCTTGATGGCTGTCCTATCAGTCATGTAAGGGAAGTTTGCCGCCCTTGGGCCAAATTTATTAATTTTTGTATTTTTTAATATTCCTTACATGATACAGCAATCTTTTGTCTATTTGCTGAACTGAACAACTTGGTATTGCTGTGATGCTGCACACTTTTCCATAATCTTGTCAAATACCGTAATGGTTACCCATTATGTACAGTGTTTGGATGAGCTTCCAGATTGATTTAAGCTGGGAAGCAGGATGGCATCCACTTCTTTTTTTTTTTTAAACAAATACATTTGTTTATTCCTGGTGAGAACATTTACCAATCACAATGGCACTTCCTGAACCCCTACAGAGAAAGGCAATCTTCCATAAAAGCAAATCCTTTTCCTGGATAAGACGAAAATGCAGGACACTCGGGTTCTTTCTGTGCTAAGCTTTTGAAACACTTGTGCATTTAACTTTTAACCATTAACAATCGACTTTAACTAAAACCAAAGCAAAATATTCAACCTTCACAGAGTTCACATTCCAAAGAAAGGGTTATCCTTTTTAAAAAGGTTTGCTAAGACAAATGAGTTTC